AGGAAAAATAGAGTTGACTTGTCCAATTAGGGGTTTGGAGATAAAAAGCCTGGACATCTAGGTATCAATGTTTAAGAGTTTAATTGCATCATAGAACCAAAATATTGAGAAATTCTCAAAATATTATTGAATAGCTGAATTCCCCCAATAGGTAAAATTCAAAAGTTATTTATAATGATTTTAAAGTAACTTTTGTAAACAGAATTAAACTAAAAAATAGTAAACTAGTTGAATTAGGAATACTATTTCTAAAACAAATAGGAAACATGCTAATAAGAAGAAAATCCTAAATTACTAAACTATAATAATACTACTCAATAATATAGACTTTTAAATAGTATAGTACTTTTACATTTAATACAATTAAAATTTCGTAAGTATTTAAGAAGTTTAGTGCTAGTCCATTCTGCATCAGTGTTTTACACTTTTTTCGATTTTGGAGTGTTGTAAGCAAATTCAACTAAGATATCTTAAATGCATTTCGGGATGTGCATTAGAAAGATTTGGTTAGCAGATTTTGTTTAATTTGATATGACAATTCTCCAACCTGAAGCAAAGGAAGAACAGAGATGTCAACATGCTATTGTGGGTAAAGGCAGAATAACAAGAGTAAAAGAAATAAAAACCACCGAAGCTATAGTTAGTAAAGGTAGGAAGATATAACACATGCTTCTACTGATCTACATGCTCGGTCTTCTAGATTTTATCCTACTCATAAAATGAAAAGTTAGTGATTCTCTGATAGCCATTAAGTTTATGCTTCATAGTTGAGTAGGATCTATCTCCGCCTATTATTATGCTTCTCATGTCTCATATCTGTTATGCTCAGGTAGGGATTTTATTGCACCGTGCAAGTGCAAAGGGACATCAAAATATGTACACCGGGAGTGCTTGGATCATTGGCGAGCTGTGAAGGTATGGGTTTGATATCTGTTTTTCTGATTCTATATTTGGTATCTAGTGTACAGTTGTTATACTGTGTACCTTGGTCAGTTATACTTCTGCAGCTCCCTTGTCACTTGATTCTGAACTTATTCCATTTTAGTTGACATGACTAGATGTTTTTAGAGGTTATTAGATATTCATGTTGCTAGGACTTCTGGATGCAAATATGAGCTTCAAATGCATGTCTATGTTGTGATTTTGATAATATATTGGTCCTATCAGCAAGTTATAATCTCAAGCATCAGATTCTATATATGCAACATATCCTTGTGAAAAGAAACTATCCAGCCATTTTTTTATAGAAAAAGAAGTATTTTAAAGACAAGAAAAGATAGAGTACAATGACGGAGGATAATATATCCTCCTAGAGCCTCTTAGTAGAACTACAAATCATAGTTACAACTGAATCCAACAAAAATCAGTCTATAAATTTGCTAGTAACTTGCTTGCTAATTTATAAACAGGCTAGCTTGGTGGTTTGCCTTAATGGAGACTTTGCTTAGATACTGTCGCAGATATCAGTCTTCTTTTTTTGTGCTGCTTAATTACACATTTCATTGTAGATGTAACTGTTACCTTAGTCTCCTAGATGATAAATTTAGAGTTAGGATCACTGCATTGTCCAAAATTTGATGTTGACTGAATGAATTTGGTATTGCTTACTGTATTTGGATGTTGCTGCTCTTCTTTCTCTGTCTCTGTGAACAACTCAGGTAATGTTTTACAAGTGGTTCATTGTGTTCATTACATAAAAGAAGATTTGATCCCAAAGGACAGAAGCTTTCTGGGAGGGAGTTGGTTCTGGGTGGTTTATGCCAAATGAATGAGAAATTTATAAACATCATTTGCGGGGTTTTCGATTTTCATTTAAGTGTTTTTTAACTTTATTTGACACACTATAATATATTATTCTTAGTTTTTTTCCAGGAAGGGTTTGCATTTGCTCATTGCACAACCTGTAAGGCCCCTTACCATCTGAGGGTGCATGTTGCTGCTGATAGGAAATGGCGGACCTTGAAATTTCGCTTCTTTGTTACTAGAGACATTCTATCTATTTTTCTTGCTGTCCAGCTTGTAAGTATAATTTTTTATTCTCCATATGCAGTTTGTTGCATTGTTTTGAGAATCATATAATTTGTGATTCAAATTTCGGTTTGGTTCAATTTCAAGATAATTTGAATTGTTTAGATAAATTGCAATTTATTAAGAATAATAGGTTTATCATACGATTCAATAATGGATTGCAGAAATCGAATTGAATGGTACTTAAATCATGCCCGATACAATTTGGTTGGATCTAAAATATATAGAAAATAAAAATAAAATGAAATATATTCTTTAACTTTTAGGATGATTTTGACATGAGTTGAAAAAGAGGCAAATAATCTTTTTGAATAAAAAAGAAGACTTCCCATTTTTTTCTACGCTATTTTCTTTGAAAACAAGTACTCTTTTTAGTTGTCTACTTTATTACTTGTCTAAGATTTAATTGTGAAAGAAAATTGTAAGTATTTTTGTTTGAATAGTAGATATTCATGATAGCAAAATCTGATTTATGAACTATGTTCTTATTCACAATTCTTGATTGAAAAAAAGAAATAGAATTTTGATTCACAATATGAATCTCGATTCAACAACTTGTGAAATGTTGCTTTATGAACTATTGCTTGGTTTTTATCATTTCTGTATTTGGACTTTCTTTTGACTATTAATAACAACCTGTGAAATCTGAGTTATGACCCTAGTTGTAGGGGTACAATTTAATCCTATGAGCTCCTCTTTGCAAGAGGAAAAAGATACCACTAAGACAACAGCTTGGTTTTTTCATTTCTGTATTTGGACTTTCTTTCGACTATTAGTATTTTCATCATTTATATATGTACTTATTACATATTCTTATTCATCTAGTATCTATTGATTCAGGTAATAGCTTCATTGGGGTATTTGGTGTATTTAGTCGATGGTTACCAGCAGTCCTGGCTTCGCCATGCTTGGGGTTTTGACAGCGAGCTTAGTTTCTACTATCTATGTGGTAAAATCTTGAGAACCTTAAGTAGTTCTCTTTTCTGTGATTCTCATAACTAATGTTCTGTGTGGTGCCTTTCTGTGTTTCTCATAATCAATGTTCTTTTGTGGTGCCTTTTCTTGAACATTAATCATAGTAGAACTCATAGCTTGAACCATCATTAGTATGCACTTGGGCTTAATATCTTTATACCTTGTTTAAAAAAGAGCTAAGTTGTGTATTCCCAGATGTTTTCTAAATGGAATGCTGGACCAACTAAACAAGTTGCTGATGCAGAAAGCGAACAAGCAATTTAGGATGGAGTGTTTTTTGTATTACAAAGTATTTTTATGATATTTATGTAATTTTTCTATTTTCATCTGTTCTTATATTGTATAGATTATTTAGGACATATTAACTAAAGCTAGGAATAATATGATTTTATCATTTTCATTTTTCTTAAGATGAAATGGCACCTTTTGGTACGCATTTGATTGGTCAGAAAGTGGTGGTCCAGGGAGGTGGCAACCACAAGTTGCCAATGTGTGCCACCTCCCATTGGACAAACGTTGATGGAAATCTCAAGTTGCCAACTTGTTTTGTTGGGTGCTTCTTTCTTGCACATTCATCGTAGTAGAAAACATATCTTGTGTCATCATTAGTACGAATAGGGGCATGAACTCGCTTAGATATCTTCATGTCTTGTTAACAAAATAGTAAAGCTGTGTATTACCATATGTTTTTCTAACTGGAATGTTGTACGTATTAAACATTTTGCTAGTGCAGAACAGGAAGAAGCTAAGATAGAATTTTTTTAGTATTAGAAAGTATTTTTATATGTAATTTTTCTTTTTTAATTCGTTTTTACTTATTAGACTATTTAGGAAATTTAGCCAACCTTAGGAATTATTTTGATTGTACCATCCTTTTTTTTCATTTTTCTTAAAATCAGGTGGCATTTTGTGCTACACTTTTGATTGATCCAAAAATAGTGGACCAAGTTGCCTTTTCTTGCACATTCATCACAGTAGAACATGTATCTTGCATCATAATTAATATGCGTAGGCGTATGAACTAGATTGTGTATTACCATACATTCTTCTATTTGGAATGCTGTACCTATTAAACATACTGCTGATGAGAATGGGAACAAGCTAATATGGAATGTTTTTAGTATTAGAAATTATTTTGTAATCTTTATGTAAATTTTTCTATTTTCCTGTGTTTTTAGATTATGTAGGCTATTTAATACATAGTAGCTAAACTTGGGAAACATTTTGATCTTTTCTTTTTTGCTTTTTTTCTCATTTTTCTTAAGATCAAGTGGCACCTTCTGCTACACTTTTGATTGATCCAAAAATAGTGGATGAAAGAGGGGGCAACCAGAAGTTGCCTTTTTCTTGCACATTCATTATAATAGAATGTATATCTTGAATCATCGTTGATATGCATATGAGCATTGACTAAGTTGTCTGTTACCAGATAATTTTTCTAAGAGGAATTCTGTAACTATATGCTTGTTGCTGATGCAGAACGAGAAGAAGCTAAGATGAAAATTTAGTATTATAAAATATTTCTATAATGTTTGTAACTTTTCTATTTTCATATGTTTTTTATGTTATATAGACTATTAGGACGTATTAGTTGAAATTAGGAATTATTTTAATTTTCTTTTTCTGTTCATTATTCTTAAGACGAGTTGGCACTTTGCTACACTTTCAATTAGTCAAAAAATGTTGGACCAAGGAGGTTGCCACGGCAAGTTTCCAACTTGTATCATCTCCTGTAGGACAAAGATAATGACAATCTCAAGTGTCTAACTTGCACTTTTGAAACCCTTTTTTGTCGATATAAAGATATTTGATGTAGTGAGGATGATATTGTTATTGGAATAGAATTGAAGCACTTTTTTATGTAAATTTTGGTTTCTCTCCCTCTCTTCAATCCTTTTCTCTTCCTTTGTTCCTCTTTTTGCTCTCCCTTTCTCCTCATCTTTCTCTTTTCTCTTTCTCTCAGTGTCTTCTCTTTCTAGCTTAAACTTTGCTAAAACAATGCTGACATTGGGGATCCTATGCACCAACAATAATGATGATGATGATGATGCTGATAATAATAATAATTATTATTAATTATTATTTTGGTTACTACTGTTGTTTAGAATTAATTATTTCTAGTTTTAGGTACTTGAATATTTTTTTTATGTTTAATGGGTCTTTTATATGTTTGTATATGGTAGTATGTATCGAATAAATTTTGTCTGGTCGTTAAAGTTGACCAAGTTTAGGAAGATAAATTTAGGTAGTTGTAGCAGTTATTCATAAGCAGCGTAGCAGTTTCTATGGCAAACTGTCCCTAAAAATTGTGAAAAATAGTCTACAGAAAGTCAGAAAAATAAGTTCAGAAAGTCAGGTAGTTACAGCAGCAATATTTTCTTTATTTTACTGCTGCAGCAAAATTGCTAGCAGCTTCTAAGTTACTTCTTCTTTGCTTACTTTGATAGAGTTCTGTAACTACATATATATAGAGAGATATTTGCCTCTATCATAGAAGAGTTATGAACTAGAAGAACAAGAAGCTCTAGTACCAATTAATATGGGACGAAAAGAATGTCGGAGGAAGAAAGAGGTAATAGCCAGAAAATGGTAGGAAAAGAAGAGGTCGTGGATCATAAAGTTTTAGTAACTATCAAAATTCATCCATCACAGGCATATCTAAAGGATTAACAATGTTAGTCTTTTATATATTTCTCAAATGTAAACTAAGTCCTAATCATGGCAGGAATCTAAATAATATTTCTAATGATTAATTTCCTAGATAACCTAAAAAATTCAAGTATATAAAATTTTAAATATTATAATTTTAATTAAATTCCTTAATATTACAATTTTTTCATTTTTGATTTCTTTATGTTCTCAATGAGGCCATCTGAACTGGTCCTTCCCTGCAGCATTTATAAAATTGTATATTGTTGATTTGTGCTGAAAAGCACAGGTTAGGGGCCAGCTTTTGCATCTAAATCTCAGAGAGAAAAGACCAGAATGGTTCATATGCATAAATATCAATTTTAACATTTTGCTAAATGCTTAATTGTAGTAGACATTATGAATCTTGGCATTGGAGAAACTGAAATGACCCAGAAAAAGAGAGAGCTTGATCATTTGGCTAACAGTTGTAACAAGATTGGCCTTGTTCATGCTTAAAGTTCATCCTCTACCATGCATCTTTAGTCATTTGTGTGACAATTCCCATTTTCATCACTTTTGGTTCTTGTTGGTTTCCATTGTTCTTCTTAGCCAATTAATTTGTTGGGTTGCTATGCATAGCCAATCAATTTCTTGTGGAGTTTTAACAATCTTCTTGCTCTTGATTAATTTTGCTGGTCTGGTGTTTCTATTTGCTAAATTTTTAAACCTTGCCTCAATTATTCATACTGCTTTCTGGGTTTTAATTAACGATATTGTGGAGTACAGGAGCTCTGTTATTTTTCGCTTTACTGGGGCTATCCGGATGCTTCATTACATGTTATGATCGAAGAGTACGCAATGATCTAGCCCAGCCCTGTCGAGAATTATGTCTTTGTTGCTGTCAGCCTGGGTATGATCGACTCCACTGTTTTTCCCCCTCTATTTACTTGGTGTTTTATTCCTAATCTTTTGCTGAGTTGATACCCATGAAGTGATTCATACTGCCTTTTGCTGTTTCTTTGACCATTACGACAATCCTGATGTGCTAGGAAAACTACTCAGTTACTAAATTAGACATTTACTACCATTTCCATTTTTGTTTTGTTTTCTTATTTTTGTGATTGTCTTAGTTTTAGTCTGTGTCATTATTGCTGTTGTTATCATCAGTGTTATATAGTAGAGTGATTTAGAAATGTTTCAGAAGTTATAGGAGCTTAACTGTCTCTATTTCTGATAGTTTTCATCATCTATTCCCATCTTTTTCTTTTTGGTGTTAGGTTGTCCATGTTTTTATCTTGGTTGAAATAAATGAATATTCCTTTTATATTGACTATTTCCTGATCTAGCAATATTATATGTTTTTTCTTGCATGACGAGGTAGACATACTGGGCCAGAGAGGGTTGACATGCATGGACAATCTAGTGTAATATGTGCAAAGTTACAGCATTTACAAATTTCATCATAATAAGGTTTTGAAGTGGTTAGATTCATGAGAGTAGCATTTTCTTTTCTTGCTGAAGATGAGAATAGAAAATTTAAAGAACCACATGAGGTCAACAAGAATAAAATGGGAGAAAAAGAGAAAAGGTTGAGAACTGAATGAACAAACATGCAACATAGCTTTTCATAAGCCTTTTGTAATGCAATTAAAGAATTATGTCAACTTCCATTGAATAGCCCTTGGATTACCAAAAAGGTTTTGTCTGCATCATTGGATGTGAAACCAAAATTTTTTGTGTAATCACCATTTAGAAAGAATAAAATCATCAATCACAATGTAGTTTAGGTAAATTAGTTGTAGGTTTTTGTCTTTTAGGTATAACTACAGCTGGATCTATTCTTTTTGTTTTCAAATTAAAAACTCAGTCACTATAGAACAAGCATGTTTTGTCAATTTCAGTCTAATTTTTTAAACAATGTTAATAACTAGTGAAATATACATTGTGTGTCACTAACATGACTGTGATAATAAAAGAAACAGATAATTTGTTTGGAAAAATACAAAAAAATAAAGATTATAGCTTTTATGCCAAAGAAGAAGCTAAATGAGAGTGTAAAATAAACTGAAAGTTTGCACAGGGACATGTTGTATAATAAATAATTTAAAAATAATATTTTAATTTATGGAAGGACAATACTGATATTTTTGGAAAATTATGACCCAAGTTGTAATAATACCAAAACATCAAGGACCTCTTATAATTTACCCTTCTATTTTTTATTGAAAGAATAAGAATAATTACATTTTGTTGTAATTTTGGCTTCTTTTGTTGTTTTTGTTGGTATCAAAATCAATAAAAAATAAGAAATATTGGAAAAGTTAGGATTCTTAAGACCCTGGCCAATATATCCTCTCAGAAAGAAAGATCCTCCTTGATATCAAGAATAGTTTTCCTCTCGTACAAAGAGAACCTTATAATTTTTGTTAGTTTAATTTTTCTTCCAGACTTGACTGTGTGACTTCGTCTTTGGACTCCGTGGAAACATCTACCCGTAATCCTTTTTTACAATTCTTTGCCCATCATCCCTGAAATTGAAATTTGACCTTCACTATGTCCTCTTGGAAGGAAAATGCTCCCTCTGAACTTATAACCTCTGTTTTGACCACAGTACTCAATTGGATAAACACAGTGGTCTGCTAAAAGTCAAGAGTCCCAATGAGAGTTTATCACCTTATTTGTATGTGATTTGGTTGCTGTTCTGACTATAACTGTTGCCTGTTTCTCTATTGTTATGCAGCATTAAGGTTATGAAATAGTCTCTGCTGTGCTTAAATTTATTCATCTGTAGCAGTTAATTTTAGTAAACATCAGAGAGATAACAGTAGGAAAATCCTCTTTATGATATCTCTATTTCTACCCATACACAGATCCTAAATTAGGGATCAATCTACTGCATAAGGATTTTTGAGGAGGTACCCACTTCTTGGTGCCACATGGATGCTGTTGTTGGAATGCAAATGCTAGGATTTTTAGACACTGTTTAATCCAAAATTACAGCTGGGACGAAGTGGTGTTTTAAGTGTTTAAGCTTCTTTGTTGGGCAAGGCACAAGATTGTCTAGGGGTATCTTGTCAATCCTACAATGGGATCAAGCTGCTACATTGTTTTCTAGTTAATTTCTCTCTTTGTTTTTCATCTGTTATTTCTCAGATCATACCATATCCTTGCACTATGTATGTTCTTCCTTTCTAAGAAATATATTTTTCTGTACCAGAAGGCTACTTCATTATCATACCATGTGCATTCATTTAATTATACCTTAACCTTGCATTTCTATAGTCTCTGTGTTGTGAAGTGTAGACCATTCTTTTCTGAGATGTTAATAGCGTAGAATGAAGCCAATGTCCTTCCTAGTACTAGATTATTGGGCAGCTGATGTTATGAACTGTCTTGAAGCAGTTTCAGTTTAGAAGAATGATATTATATACATGCATACTTGCCACGAATGGAGGCCTATGTTACTTTTAGTGTAAATTATATGGAGGTCGTTAAGGTTGAGTGTAGTTATAAATGGATTTTTTATTCTTCGAAAATAATGACTTATTGTCTAGATAATAAACATATAAAGTTCATTTCAGTTCAATCTTTTGACAGCTATTAAATAATATGTTTTTAAAGGTTATTTGAATATATGTCGTGCTATACATGTAACTATGTAATATAAAATAGAAATACAACAAGCAATTCTACTAAAAAAAATACAAATAAAATGATGATTTTAGCTTATATAATGAGGAAGCTAAGAACTGAAAGTGTATAAGAATATATATTGTATAAATAAGTAACTAAGAACAGGTAAATTTATGAAATTAGTAGTTGTTATTTTGAGAAACAACGAACCTGGTTATAATTATATTCTAGCATCAAAAAGGCCATCTATGTAATTTCTCTTTCATTTAAGTACAGGAACCTACATTTACTGTTTGTTCATGGGATGGAATTAAAATCTTATCTTCGACATTCCATTGAAAGAGATTGATGCAGATCAACAAAAACTTATACTTCTTTTCGTTTTTGTTATTCTTGTAGAATCTGTGCAGATTGCCATTTACCTGGGACTCTTTGTATGTGGACAGACTGTACCACATGCTTTGAAAGTTGTGCTAGCACAGCCACTGAATGTGGTTGCTTAGGAGGTGCTGGTGAAGCAGGGTTACCATTACTGTTTATAATGGCATTAATTATGCTGGGATTATTTACAGTAATTGGTATATTCTACAGTGTTTTGGTAGCAACGATGGTTGGTCAACGTATTTGGCAGCGGCATTATCACATACTGGCAAAACGGATGCTAACAAAAGTGAGTCTACAAAATTTTGTGAATGTACTGCATAGTATCAATTTACTGTCCATGATGGGATGCCAAAAAGATGCCTATTAGGCCTAATTGCTTGCACTAGCATGAAATTGGGGTCTTTGAAAAGACAAAGTTAGCTAACTAAAGAGAATAAGATCCAATGAGCATACTCATGCATTCAGGAAGTATCCATTGGACTTCAGACGTATCTGATTTCCAAATTCACATGAAACATGCCTATATTAGGTTTGGTAGATCAATGTTTTTTGGCTATATTTGGAATACTATAGAGGTTTTGTAAAAATCATTTGCAAATCCAAACTTAGTTTTATTAGAAGATGAGGAAAATTATGAAATTTCACACAAAATTCTATATAAGATAGTTTTTATATTTTAATAGAATTTATATCAGTTCTTAGTTAAACTAAGGTTATGTTTGGAACAAATTCAAAAATTTTATGGAATTATTTTGCAAATAGATATTTAGTTTAACAAGGAGAGGATGTAATCTTATTAGGGTGATTAAAAAAATTAATCTTATAAAGAGTTCTATGTTGAATTGGAATAGGTGGAATCTAGAATATATTTTTCCAGTTCAACATGAAATTTCATATGGTGTTATTTTTTAAAATGTTGGGAAGATTTTCTTGTTTTTTTGTTTTCTGATTGAATTGACTGTAGATTTGCAGGAAGATTATTTTGTATAATGTGTGCATTCTGATGTAGTATTACATTTTTAATAATAATTTAATAAAAATGTGAGTTAGCGAATAAAATTTATGGGAAGAGATTTTTCTCAAACTATAAGTGGAAGTGTGATACGAGATAACTTACCGTTATATAGAATAATTTTTCATATTTGTAAATGAATTTCTCAAAATTTCTGATTTTATTCTACACATTCTTTGTATATGTTTATTTTATTCTTGCTCTTCTGAGTCGATTCATTTTGCTTCCTGGAGGAAAACAAAGGCCATAGCTTTAGCATGTTATTTATTTAGGCTTCTGAATTGACTCCTTGCTGCATCTTTCCTGTGGGTATGGTCATGGCTATCTATTTTGTCGTAATTCAATTTCTTTATGGGTTTCTGAATTTTATATATTGTTTTAGGAATACGTCGTTGAGGATGTTGACGGTGAGAGTACAGGATCTGACTGGTCTCCTCCTCCTCTGCCACCTGAACATGTTCAGCAGTTGAAAACCCTGGGCCTCCTATGAATTGGTAAGTCAGGTTCCATCTTGACATCAATTACTAGTGTGGAAATCCACTGGCTCCATATTTTTGGTTGCTCAGTCCTTATTATAAGCCTTTAGATTGTGATGTAATTCAGAAATAATATTATGCCACTAACGAGTAAAGAAAATTGGCCAAAATATTGTTCGACTATACTTTATAATCTTAGAAAGTTAACTGTAAGAAATTCTTGAAAATCCTCCTCTTTCTTCTTCTTTTTTTAATATAATGTAATTGTTATTATTCCTTCCCAGGGGACAATACAGTAACTCAACTTGAGTTGTGTTATATACAGTTACTCTTTGATGATGGTGTAATACATCTGGGTAGTTAATAGTGGATCCCGGTAGGAAGACAGTTTGGTTAAGTAGTTCTCCAATTGAGCTTGACAAGGCTATGCTTTTTTATAAAAGTTCACGAATTGAATTTCAATTTTATATTTCATTAAACTGGCTAAACTTGAAATGGAAAATTTTGGATTTTAGGGTGAGCTTATTGTAGAAGTGTTTAAAAGAGTTGGTATAAAATGGTCCATCTAAGCAGGCATTAGAGTCTTTGTTTTTTGTTTCCTTTTTCTTTCTTGTAGTTATATATATATAAATATAAATATATAAAGAGTTGAAGTCCAAATATTTAGGGTCGAGTAAATGGTATGTTAACATTTTAAGACAATGCAAGAAGAGAGAATACGTTTCCTTTTCATGATGCACTAAATTGTTGATGAGTTAAAAAGTAAAAGCATATATATGAATAGAGAAAATAAAATGGCTTTTAAAAAATATATATTCTTAAGTATTTTAGTAGAATCTCAATAGACAATATCAGTGCTAATAGGTACTCTTTGTTTTTAATAACTAAAAATTTTATAAAGAAGAAAGAAAGAAAGAAAAAAAAAAAAAAAAAAAAAAAAAAAAAAAAAAAACTAGGCTTATTTAGAAAATAAAAATATTTTAGTTTGTTATTACTGACTTGATGTGAAATCATAATAATCAACAATATATATTTATCTACTATTATTTTATTTTTTATATTAATAAAAATAATTATTTTTCATAAATCAATAAAATGAAATTAAGTTGTGCAATTTTGATTATTGTGAAACAAAAATTAGCAATACAACATATGTAAGACATTTTCCATAAGATGCTTAATTTAACTATTTTGATCATAATAATTGCCTCTCTTTTTTGTTTTTGTCAAGTTCTAATTATGCATGAGGAATTTAACAAGGCATAGGATCATACATGAAATAGTATTTAAGGGAGGTGAAGTTTAGCAATTTATTACTGAGTTCATTTCTTTCTCTTTTTCGGGGGCTGAATTGCTTCCTCCTCATCTTTGTCTTCATCTTCATCATCATCATCATCATCATCATCTTTTTCTTTTTCCTTCTCTATTTCCTCAACATTCTCCTCTTCTTCACTATTATCACCATTATCATCCTCATTCTCCTCATTTTCGTCGTCGTCGTCGTCGTTATCGTCGTCGTTGTCGTCATCACCCTCACCCTTATTCTTATTGTTTTTGTCTTCTTCATCGCTTTCTTGATCATCTTCATCTTCTACATTCTCTTTCGTGCCACCTGCACCGCCTCCTGAATCCTTCTTCAAGTTACTCTTATTGTTGTTGAGGTTGTCATCATGGTCCCCTTCATCTTTTGATGATAAATCTTCCCATCTTTCAAAGTCGTCATTCCTGTCATTCTCATCTATTCCATCGTATTCGTTATCATCATCTCCTCTGGTATCAACTGATTTGGTTGTACTGAACAAATACTTGTTCTGATTAGTCAACCATTGATCATAATTAAAAAGAATTCTAAAACGAAATTTATAAAACATAGCGAAGGTCAAGTAGGACATGATTCGAAACATAGGTGCGGAAGAAGAAAATATTAGGATGGATCAATTATTTGGAAGAAGGCAAAGTTAACTTTTATGAGTAACCCTAGAAGATATATATTGATTATTCCATGACAGAAGAAATAAAGAGCTAAAAAAAAGGGAACCCAATTCTTGATTAACATATTTAAAAATTAGCATAAGAAATAAGCTTTAAAGAGTGACCACAATCCTAAGAACATTTGTTTCCTTATCCTGACATTAAAAAGGCAAATATAATTTGGTTATTGGTGGTGGGAGTGGAATATGCTTTCCATCGTGGTAGAAAATGTATTCCGTTGCCTCTTCGCCACTTTCTGCCCATGGTATTATTCAATTCATGAAATACAATCAATTGTATTTAGATTTATTTGGAATTTTCTTTTTATTTTTATACTGCAAGTATGTAAAAATTTAATATTTTTAGATAAATTTCCTTGTTAAAAAAATTATTAAAAAAAGATTCAATAGTTTCAAATGTGCCCTTAATTGTCTTCCAATTTATTCTTTGACTACCATGTAGACTATAAATTATATATTTTAATATTTATGTTTTATATAAAAGTGTAGAAATAAAAATTTTAAAATATTTTATAGTGGGAATATTTGATATTCCAAAGACAGAAAGACATTCTTTGAATTTGAAATATTTTTAATAACATTTATTTTGATTGTGTAACTCATTACCTAATACTAAAAATTTTTGTTTTGATTATTAAATTTTTAATTACTTTTAATTTTATCACTTTTACATTAAAAAATAAAAAATAAAAAATTCATGTGGAAATTTAAGAAGAAAAAAATTTTGAAAACTCAAAATTTTATCTTCATTTAGTTCAAATTCTCAAATAATTCCACTCACGAACCAAAACAATGAAAAATACACATAAAAGACAGACCGAGGGAATTAATTCTTTAAATTATATGGTATGTAATATGATAATATATTATAAAGAAGTCCAAATTACTGAATTTTAGCTAGAAATTACATTCTAAGCACTAAATAATTTTCATCATAAAAAAAGTCTCATAACTTTCTTATTTTTTTTCGAACTCTAGGGCAACGATGTATTAATAAATAGTACATTTAAATATAATTATTAAATTATTATTTATTTAAACTCTAGTCTCAAATGATAGTCATAATTATAATTTTTTTTAGGTTAATCCTGTAAACTTTATATATTTATACAAAAAAATTCTTCATATCAATTATTATTGGTATTGACATAATAACAGAGAAAACGGCCTTACACTTTCTGAGCTATACTAAAATTAATTATTATAACATCTTAATTGTATTCGTGGAGATTATAGATTAATGCAGTATAACAAAATTAGATCTTCTATTACCAAATTTTGTTTCCTCTATTGACAAAAAAAAAAAAAAAAAAAAAAATTAAAGTTCAAAAATTTACTATAAAAACTACAACAATTGCCTCTCAAATCCTGATTTTCTTTGCTAACTTTTAAAGTAATTAAATCGTTGGTGTACTTTACTTTCTTTATGTAATAATGTAGAGTCAAAAAATAGTAAATTGTGTGTTTCGTGTATATATATATATATATATATATATATATATATATATATTTATTAAGAAGTTGTGTTCTTATTATTAATTATTATGTATGTGCTGCATAATTAATAAATATAGTAAATTTTACTTTAAAAATTGTCATTCTTTTTTGTTCTCCAACATTTTTTGATAGAAAAAACATATCTTGTCGCCATGTACATAATCTGTTTATATTGATTTTCCTCTAATTTTTTTCCTTTCACCATCTCTTTATTGCCAATGCTTTCTTATCCAATATTGAAAAGAAGCTACTTTTTTTTTAAATTAAAGAAAAAGGAGGATAAAAAATGATGTGCAGTTATAATAATCTTTAAAAAAAAAAAAAAGTTTGATCATATATTTTTATAATTGTTAAAATAAAATGTAAAAACCCAAGACATTAAAAGAAATGAATTGAGGAAGTCAATAATAATAATATTATGGTTATATTCCTTACACAGTAAAGAAAAATGTCCAATAAAGTTACGAGAATGTTCCTATTACAGTGGCTCGTAAAAAAAATCAAATAAATAATTTAAAACAAATAGATAAATGTCCTAGGAGATAACCTCTATTAACTTTTGAAGAGGTCCGGAAGGTAAACTACTCACAACTTTCTTACTGATCGGGATCTAGATTCTGATTCTCTTGATTTGAAATGGTTAATAGAAAGGTGAGCTACACTAACCTAGTAAGAATATCACGCTAATAACTGTTATAGGAAACAAAGGTTGGTAAAAATTACAAAATAACTAATGGAGCCCTTAATTTAAGTAATTCATTTATTATGAAGAAAATCGTTTATTTCATACTTACCGTTACAAATTTTCTAAAAATCAACCTATGAAAACCAATATCCATTCAACTTTTTAATTTCATGTACAAGTGAACAAAAAATAATAATTTTCATTTCTTACCTGCTTACTAGTACCCCTAAGGGTCCATAAGGATGTCCCACTACACGTGAACTAAATACCCAAATTATCAATTAACTAGTCATCTCCATATCCCGTCTAGTAATGAGCGTCAAACATTTCATCGCCTCAATATCCCGTCTGGTATGAGGGTGAACTATATCTCCGAAACCCTTCTAATATAGGACTTTCCAGCCCCGTCTGACTGAGATAACGTTCATGGCAGAGTTCCCTATATACCGGATCGTCCATTCTTTTCTATAATACCTAGTAAGTCTTTCACATAAAGATCTCCATCAACAAAATAAACACCAAGTGCACATAAACCTCTCATATCATATTCACATATTAATTAAACATCATTTATGCAAACAACACAACTTCATACCTTAATAACCGAGAAACGTACTCAAGGCTTTTATTTTCAACTCAGTCAATCAGATAAGAATTACAATCAGACAATCAATAATGAGAAAGAAATTAAATATGATACTTTAAATCATCCAGCAGAATCATAAGCAATTTAGACAATGCAGAAAAATAAATAGGCAACACATATGAGTTTATGACGAACATACACTAACCAGTTTTCCGGCTCCACTAGTGACATGTAATTATTGTTAGGATTTTTTTAATTTTTATCAAAATACACAATTATCAATTATTAACCTTTCATTTACTGTAACAGGGAATAGGATGATGGATTCTTACCCGAATCAGTGTTTTGAAATGTCGAACTGTGCACTACACCTCCCAACCGGTTTTAGATTTTCTGAATTTTTCCTGTGAGAATCTAAAATAGTCGTGACATACCTAAAAATACCCAAAAAAATTCAAAATCGGTGTTAAAAATCTTTTTTAGCCAATTTTAGGGTTCTGGCACTATGGCACCGCCATGCTTTGACGCTAGCTCCGCCGTCCACGATAACAATTTGCCTCAGTCTGGCCAGTTTTAGCTAGTTTTGGCCAGTTTTAGCTGGTTTTATACGTACCCCTACAGAAAAACACATAAGAGGGCCTTGGTTGGCTAGAAATCACAAAAAAATCGAACCTACCGACCGGAGAGGGGGGGTCTCTGAGTACGGTGGCTCCCCTGGTTCTCCTTCGTGGCTGGGGTTTCTTCTTCGGTTAACCTATACATAAAAGGACAGTGAACACAGTGGTCAAAAAATCACGTGAAATGGGAAACGAGAAGGGCCTCATCAGATGGGGTTTTGGGTTTCGACCGTGGTGGCTCTGTCGAACTTTGTCCTCAGTTTCGGCTCACCCACTGTCCCTCTTGCTTCGATACGATCACATGAATGCTCGGATCAAATTTTGAGTGGTAGGAAAATTTACCTTTTTGGCGGTCAGCAGTCCGCCTTCT